AAAGAAAGAAAGAAAGAAAGAAAAGGAAAGGAAAGGAAAGGAAAGGAAAGGAAAGGAAAGGAAAGGAAAGGAAAGGAAAGGAAAGGAAAGGAAAGGAAAGAAAAAAAATCTCAGTTTTTCAGGATTGATTCCTAGGGCAGGCCAGATAGTTTAGCGCATCTTATGGAACCGACCCTTGCATTGGGAGAGAATGCAAAGTTCCGCTTGACCAGGCCTACCTAGGTCAGGGTCTCACCCCAGACGCCTCTGCTGGGCTCCAGTACGCCTGCGCCCTAGAGGAAACCTGGGTTGTGAGGAGTAAAGGGCGTGGTCTTCAGGCGGTTCTTGGTTCTTACATAAAAATCTGTTCCTTCCTGTCTTCCAGAGCCACCTCCAGGCGGGCAGCAAAGCCACATCATAGCCATCGTAATCGGTACTGTCCTGGGTCTGGTGATTTTAATTGGAGTGGGCCTCCAGATTTATTGCAGTTACTGCAGATCCCATGGTGAGTCCCCGCCTCCCAGCCTGCCCCCCCTTTGGTGTCACCCCGCCACCGAAGCACCCCGCCACCTACTGCTTGGGCTTTGATCATAAAGCTTTTCCCTCAGCCAAGAAATGCAGTGGGTCCCTCACATCCCAGCCAGACCCCCAGCCTCTAGGAAGTTCCTGGATGCCCCAGAGTGGGCCAAGCACCGACTCCTGGCTCTGCCCCAGCTTGGCCCAATGCACTGTGATCCCCGCAAGGCAAGATGGAGGCTGTCTGAGTCTTGCCTGTGTCTCACTCACACCACCTGGTACCTGAAGACACAGGAGAAGCACTTAAGAGGAATGTTTGCTGGGAGTCGGGCATGGTGGCGCACCCCTATAATCCCAGCAGTTGGGAGGCTGAGGCAGGAGGATCACTGAGAGAGAGTTCAGGGCCACAGCAAAAACAAGGAAACATTTCCGAAGTGTAGCTGTCTTATTAAGTTTGTCACGGTAGGTAAATGGCTTCAGCTCTGTGCCTCAGTTTCCTCATCTGCAAGAGGAAGTAACTACCTAACATTATGGGTGACCCGTTATCACAGCACTTGCCCCAGGGCAAGCCCCATGCTGAGTGCATGTTAGCTGTGATTATGACTCTCTTCCTCATGTCAGTAGTACTAAAAATCCACAGGAATGGGAATTTCTGTGTCTCCTTCACAGCTGGATCATACCAGCCCCTCGGATGGGCCTGACACAGGGCAGACATCTACTGTCTGTGGAATAAGCGTGTGTGAAACTGAGGAAACTGAATCATAGAGAGGTTAAGTCCCTGGGTCCAAGCTCAAGCAGCTCCTAAAAGACAGGGAACTTCAGTGCTTAGGCACTTTTTTGGGGGGAGAGGGTCTGATTGAGACAGGGTCTCGTTACGCGGCTCCGGATGCCTTGAGCTCACTGTGCAGCCCAGGCTGGTCGCCAGCTGGCAACAATCCTCCTGCTTCAATCTCCCAAAGGCTGGGATTGTAGGCATGCACCACCATGCCTGGCAAAAAAAAAAAAAAAAAAATTCTGTATTTATTTAGGACAGGGTCTACAGGGTCTCACTACGTAGATCAGACTCATAGTGATCCGCCTGTGTTCAGCCTCCCAAGTGCTGGGATTACAGGCAAGCACCACCATGCCCAGTCTTAATTGCTGTCTCGGCGTGCCCCGGGGGCAGGGCGGGCACAGCAAGTCAGGGATCAACCCCAGCTGCTGCACGCTGCCTAAGCAGATGCTTTAGTCTGCAGAGCTATCAGGCCAGCCCCAAAAATTGTTTTTGAGACACAATCTCACCATGTAGTTTAGGCTGGCCTTCAGCTCACTGTGTAGTCCACGCTGGCCTCAAACTCGTGGCTATCCTCCTGCCTCAGCCTCCCAAGTGCTGGGATTAAAAGTGTGCACTAAGACAACAAGCCAAAAAAAATATTTTCTGTTTCCTAACCAAACAAAAAACTGGATGCCGGCTTTTCAGATAGCACACGCACCTTCGCTGTTTAATAGCCATGGGGGCCACTCCCTCAGGGCCCACTGAAGAGGAGGATGTAGGGTTGTGGGGCACAGACCCCCCAGTGTGCCATCCTTCCTCACAGCGTCTTCTCCTTCCCTCTCCCCAGGTCATTACAGATTCAGCTCCCCCTTGAACAGGACAAATGGAATAAACGGAGTGAACAGGGCAAATGGGACAAACGGGGTGAACAGGGAGAACGAGGTGAGTGTGGCGGTGGACTGAGAGGGTGAGTGGTCTCCAAGAATCGGAGACCTACAGTCAGGTCCCTCCTGTGGGATAGATGTACACGGGACAGGATCAGGAGCCCGGACCTTGGAGCATGTGTTGCCACCCAGAAGGCCCACAGAGTTCATTCACTAAGGCGCAGCCCCTGGGAGCCAGGTGTTCTGCCGGAGGCTCTGCATTTCATTATGTGTCCGCCTCAGTCACCACTCCTTGGGGAGCCCTGCCCTGGCTGCCACAGAGAGGGGCCGGGCAGAGGCTTTTTTCTGCACATTTCATAGAAGTGCAAAGATTCTGATTTATTCCAGGGAACCCCAAGGCTAACATGACTGTCTCCCGTCTAGGTCCTGTACTCAGTGGTCAATGGCACAACATCCTTGTGAAGTGGACTTGAGGTGACACATAAGGACTGAATTACATGGGTGATAGATGAAGATGTTTCCCAAGTTACGGGCCACCTCCCCGGCCAGATGTCAAGATGTGACTATGTCCCCCAAGGCAGTGAGCAGCACAGGTTCCAGCAAGGAGGCATTGAGCTCCAAAACACTGTCGCTCATGGATGCTGGGAACACAGCGAGGATTAAAATGAACCAAAGGACAAGCAGCAGAGGGCAGAGGTCAGGGAGACCAGCACCGCCTTCAAACTGCTGTACCAGAGGGGCCCCACAGGGACAGCACTGACTCAACCCAAGAGATCAGAGAGACCAATGGGGAAAAGAAGGATTTCTCTCCAGGCTTTTGGAGCACATGGACCCAGCCAAGCTCACATCTGAAGTGCTGGGCATTTGGACCAAGGAAAGGTTCCAGCTTTATAGTTGTGTGCCCGAGGTTGAAGAGGGTGGGCTTTAGAAACTAGGGGAGGGGCCGGGGAGATGGCTCAGTGGAATAAGCACTTGCCTGGCAAGAGCAAAGGCCTGAGTTCAATTCCTGGTTCCGCAAAAAAAAAAAAAAGGAAGAAAGAAAGAAAGAAAGAAAGAAAGAAAGAAAGAAAGAAAGAAAGAAAGAAACTGGGGAGACGGAACGAGGGCACAGAAGCGAGACTGTGTTATTTCCTTCTCTTGTTGCTGAGACAAAATGCCTGTGCCCAAAGTTAAGGGAGAAAAGGTTCATTTGGCTCACAGTGTGTGGAAGTTTCAGTCCATAGTCGGCTGGCTCCAAGGCAGAGCAACATATGACAGAGGGCAGCCATTCATGGTGGCAGAAGACAGCAGGAAGAGCAGAAGGGGGGAAACAAGCCTCTCTTTGCCCCTTTTCTCTTATCCTAACTGCTGGGACCAGGGCGGTGCCAGGGCAGTGAGCATAGCCACCCCCCACCCTCAATCCCAGCATGGCACTGCCGTCAGCGACATACTATGCATTGAACTACCTTGGAAACAACTCAGGGACAGCACGAGGCTCTGGGGGAGACAGCTAGACACAAACTGTAGCAATAACAGGCTTAAAAGAAGATAGCACTTCTTGAGTCCTATGACAATAAGACAATGTAAACTCTGTATAGAACATAGGTGCTTTTTTTTTTTTTTTTTGTCTTTTTGAGACAGGGTTTTACTGTGTAGTTCAGGCTAGCCTCAAACTCTGAGAGGTCCTCCTGCCTCAGCCTCCCAAGTGCTGGGGTTACAGGCGTGCACCACCGAGCCCAGCCATGGCTTCCAATCTTATCTTTACCAGAACAAGAAGTTACAGCTACAGGGGAGGGGGCAGAACTGAAGGGGGACTTCCACTTAAGTGCCACTTCGCTCCCCCCCTTTGATCCTTTCTATGAGTTTTAATAGCATCACTATGATAATCAACATTTACTTTGTTAAGGGATGGGAGAAGGTCCATTTGTCATTTCAGGGAGCCAAGGGGTCCCACGCCAGCCAGGACAATAGCTGTCTAGAACAGAGGCCTCAACCCGGGCCACACCCGGGTTTTTGCTAATTCGTGAAGAAGGAGTGGCTTGAGGGTGAGGGACAGTGAGAAGGGAGGGAAGGAGGTGAGTGCTGTGGGCCGGGCTGGGCGCACAGAGAGGAGGACACGCAGGAGTAATGTGCAGAACACAACAGAGAGGTAGTGTGTGATGCGTGATCTTTTAAACCCTGAGAAGTCATAAGCTCTTTTTTTTTTTGGCGGAACCGGGGATTGAACTCAGGCCCTTGCGCTCGCCAGGCAAGCGCTTATTCTACTGAGCCATCTCCCCGGCCCACATAAGCTCTTTTTTTTTCTTCTTCTTCTTCTTTTTGGCATAACCAGGGATTGAACTCAGGCCCTTGTGCTTGCCAAGGAAGTGCTTATTCCACTGAGCCATCTCCCCGGCCCCCATAAGCTCTTACCTCAAGGCTCAGTCCCAGCCAACAGCGTGGAGCATGGCTTTCCATCCCGCTTCAGCCCACATGTTTTATTTGGGTGCTGGGGGGTCCAGGGAAACAGTGCCCTGTCCTCTTTGCTTCAAAGACAACCACCAGCACCTTGGTTAGACCAAATGTATTGCTGACAGTTACTTGAAGGGACAGGGAAAAGTCCTAGCCAGCTCTGTATGCAGCAATACCTGGAAATAGGGCCGGGTTTAGTGAAAATGGAAAAGATGTTCTTCTTTCAAGCAGAGTTGTCCACGCAGTCCTCCACGCAGGATCAGCTGGTTCGGATGGTCCAGATCCTGATGGGCAGTCCACCTGCCTTGGACGGTCGGTGCTGTTAACTGTGGTGGCCCTAAGGCACAGCTGCTATAGTTTTAACAGAGGTGGGCTAGACAAGATTACAGCATGAGGCTGATCCCATATGAGTCCCAAAGTTGTTTGATTTTTATTCTTTTAACCAAAACGAAGTCCACAGGTTGGAATGGGTGTATTGGGTCTACAGGGCTTAGGGGTATTTTTTCCTGAACACAGTTATAGATGTCTTACTATAACTGTGGATTATGTTTAACTGGATTTGTCTCATTTAAGGTCAATTTTTATAATTTATAGGGATCGCCATGTTTTGCCTGTATTGGGGTGAGGGGTGCCTGCTGAACTGGATTTTGGAAGGGAAATTGGTTTATGCACTGTATTTTTCGAGGTCTGTGGCCAATAAGCTATGTGAAGTTTTTGTTTTATCTTTAACATCTCTGTGAAATTCTGGACTACTGCAGCTACAAATGAATGTGGGTCCAACATTGGACCCCCAAGGTCAGGGGACATCCAAATCGTGAGCTGATATCCCTTAATAGTGCCTTGATCAGCTCTTGCCTTTTCTGTTTGGGTGGCAAAAGCTTCAACCCATCTTAGAAGGCACAGACAAGCGTAACACACACGAGAGCCATTACTTGCTTGAGAAAATTTCATAACATCCGCAGCATTTTACACGGGGCAGCTCCTGTTTCCTGGGTAAGCCCTTGTCTTGTTTTACATACTTAAGGTTAAGCACAGTTTACACACAGCCTGAGCAATTGTAGGACTTCATGACCCACAGAAACGGAGTTCTAGCCATGTCCATTTGAGACCCCTGACAGAACTGCTTTATGACCCTGGCGCGCAGCACTTTGGGGATGGTTAGCCTCCCAGCAGCAAACTTACAAAATCGTCCTCCCGCTTTGTTGCTGCCACAGCCAGGCGATTGTTACTTCTTTCTCCGTAGCTCCGTGTCT